AGAGAGAGAGAGAGAGAGAGAGAGAGAGAGAGAGAGAGAGAGAGAGAGAGAGAGAGAGAGAGAGAGCCCAAAGCCCGCAGAGGGCGAAAAAAAGGAAAAGTCCTGACTGATACGCTCTCCCTACACGAAACCCTGAACATACTCCGCTTTCCTTGCTACATTCGCAAGGACCACTGCTGCTAGTTTTGCCCTCAGTAAGCATGAATCTGGCCACGAACCTGACTACATTCACACGGACCAGTTTCCAAACAGTTTTCCCTGACAATGCCGGCAACACCGGTGGCGAGTTCTCTCTCTCTCTCTCTCTCTCTCTCTCTCTCTAGGGTCCGAGCAGAACACCGCTGACAAAATGGTAGAAGCTAAATCAGCTCATAGAACTTCCAAGAAGGCACAAATTGTCCGCGCTATACGAAACCTGCGTAATAGCAAAGTTGAAGACGCAATCGGTAGCTGACACTCGTAGAGACTCTACACAGTCTAAACACAGAAAAAAAAAAAAAGTAAAATAAAAAAAATTGTGTAGTTACAACTAGCTAGTCAACGACCTTGCCGCCACCACCTGCACCCATGCTTCCTCCTCTCCTTCGCTCTCTCGTTTGACTCTTGTTGTAGATAAAAATCCGACCCGGCCTTGAACGAAGAACCGCCGCAACTTCGCCTGCATTGCACCCACCAGCAGGAAATGAAATCCGACCCCTGGCCTTGAACGAAGAACCGCCGCAACTTCGCCTGCATTGCACCCAGCAGCAGGAAATGAAATCCGACCTGGCCTTGAACGAAGAACCACTGCAACTTCGCCTGCATTGCGCCCAGCAGGAAATGGAGTGGACTGGTTTTGATCCACAGTTCTGGACCCAGGGTTTAGGGTTTAGGGTTTGAACCCTGGTCAGCGCCGTGCAATTGAGAATTGCTCTCTCTTTTGCCAGAAACGGACCAGGCTGGACTGCTTTTGCGCCACAGTTTTGGACCAAGGGTTTAGGGTTTGAACCCTGGTCAATGGTCAATGCCGTTCACAATTCAGAATTTCTCTCTTTCGCGCCACGTGCGGAGCAATTGGTGTACATGAAAATCTGATCTTGACCTGGACCAAGAACTACAGCTTCTTTGCCTGCATCGGACTCGGACTCTTTTTTGCGCCACAGGCAGGCGTCCGGACTAACCAGGGATTCAAACCCTGATCAACGAAGCGAAGTTCCATCAAGAATTACAAACAGGCCAAAAGATCGGAGGATGACGATTACCGCCGCAGAGAATGCTGAAAAGAAGAAGCCGCCGTCTCATCGAGGATCATTCCCCCTCTTTCACCTCTTGTACTTGAACCCAACCTTGAGCAAAAACTGCAGCTTGACCTGCATCACACACCGTAACAGAATGAGCCAGCAGACAAGAGTTGAAGTTCACCGTGTATCATCAACGTATAAACTGTGCAAGTTAGTTAACCTGCAACAGAACCTGGGTCAGTTGCTCCGCTGTCGCTTCCATCAGTCGGATGGAGCATTAGCAAAACAGCGCGTCGACAGCAACCAATTGTCAATCGAGTCCGACGAAGGGAAAAAAAACACAGCAGATAAACTCCAACCGAGAGGCGAACCAAGTCTCCAAGTCAAGAGTGAACCGATTCTGACGGAGACGTCCACACAAAGCTATCAAAACAGAACTCCGCATACAGTATATACAGTTATAAAGTTATAACATTACAGTCCTGGCAGCCTAGCTCAAATGGTAGAGCACGAAAGCTGTGCATTCAGGCAGCTGTGGGTTCAAATCCTCACGACTTCCAGTTTGGACTGTCAAATCCCACGGCCCCCCTGAGGCGCGCTGCGCGCTCTCCAGCTAAGAGTGGTCAGCTTGCCCCTCCTACCGTCTTCCCCCGAACACAATGCGCACCCTTATTTTGGCTGTATCTGGCCGGAAATATGGCTTGTATACATTCATTTTTAGGGTGCGTGTTATGTTCGGGGGAAGACGGTAGTTGGTTGGCGGGGAATGCCATTGTCGTCCCTCCACCTGTTGCTGGGAGATAGGGTCAACCCTGAGGGGAGGGGATAGGCTCAACCCTGAGGGGAGGGGATAGGTTCAACCCATAACCCATAATAACCCTCAGTGTAGCTGGCTTGTGGTCCGTAGATAAAAAGTGTATCGTTCCGGCCTCGGTAGGTACGTAGTGGGAGGCACCATAGAGAGAAGAATATAGGTTAGTTAAAAAAAAAAATAAAAAAAATTCAATTCTGCATTTGCCACCCCGCATCAGTCAAGCATACTCACCACCGGGGGGGGGGGGCCTCGGGCGAACCAAAGAATCAAACCCTGAGGGGATAGGGATAGGCTCAACCCTGAGGGGATAGGTTTGGAAAGAGGCTTAAGCAGCACTGGCTGCAAAACAAGGTTGTGTCCTCGAATTTTTCTGGGTGTTTGGTGTTCGCTCTATAAAGCGATTACAAGTCGATCTACTCGATTGAACTCGACTCACACTTCTTATCATCATGCGCGTGATCATATGAGCTCGACTGTAATTTTTCATCTATGATAGTGCACAAACAAAATGGGAGATGCTTGCGGAGAGAGAGAGAGAGAGAGAGAGAGAGAGAGAGAGAGAGAGAGAGAGAGAGAGAGAGAGAGAGAGAGAG